CATTATTGTAAAACAACAGCGGTTCTACAGCGACATACTGACCTATACTAATGATTGATGTTGTGTTGCTGAATTAGATTGTTGTTGAATTGCATATCGACTGCTTCATACTACGTTTTTCTCGGACATACAAATATTTACTTTATTTTCTTGTTTTATAGTGTTCTATCTTCTCGTTTAAGCTCCGCACTTGTTTCTGTTACACCCTGTATAGTGTTTTCTTTTGCAGACGTTTGGCTCAGGTCTTTAATTTTCCATTCGATCGGCACATGAAGTGAGTTTAGTATTGTTCAATAGCAAGTGAACCGATCGGTGTGTAAAATCGTCACTGAACCGTTGGCATTGTGTTTTGTATTATTGAAATTGATTGAATGTTATTTTAGTTTAACGAGAGCGCCTTTGAATTGGGCCTTTGAAAATTTTGCAGTTTATATATTTTAAACGACTCCATTTCACACTTGGGTTAAACTAAGCGGAAACGGTAAATAGAACAATGAACGTGACACAATTAATTTGCGCGGCAATAGAAAAATCAAGGCCGCCAATAAAGATATCGGCCCCGTGTAATTAAGTCGAGCATTCAAAGAAATGATTAACAATCAACCGTGAAATTACACGTAAGACTCATTGTTTTCCGCCGATGTATCTCTTGTGACTCCATTTTTCTTCTGTTTTCTCTTTGTCACTAATGAAAGCACCACGTCCAAGCAAAATAAATGAATTCTACTCTTATGAACGATAAAATAGGTTCAGCAAATTTGTGTTTACATTGAAATTAAAGATCAGCAATCGAAATAGATAACATCTAGATTTATTTATTAAGGTATCTGATGACACTATTACGCACCAAGGGAAAAAAGTATGGCAATATGTCACAAAATTTTAGGAACTGCGAAATTGCAGTACACAGAAAAGAATAGACAAAAGCAAAAGAAACGTCTATGTACATTGATGTAATTTGGTCAGTGCCAGGAGGAGATTCATGCTCCACGTCCATTACGTAATCTCTTGTGTTCAATCCTAACGTGGAAATAAATAAGAAATAAGCGAGATATAGTTGAGACATTCAAAATTGTCATAGTCCCCAATAAACCTGTCTCATTTATTTTCTTCTTTCAACTTACTAACTAGTCTAGAGCGGTTGCTGTCAGAACGCCTACTTTTACCCACGACAGAGTTTGTAGGGAATACATACTGTAGGCACAGAAATTGAAACGGGCACTAATAATAAAAAAGGAATAACATTTTAGTAATTAATGTTTAACAGAAAAAGATGTGGAAAAGCAGAATTTTAACATGTTGCCGGCGTCGGACTTTAAGAAAGTTCAACATTCTCAGGAATTTAGGAAAGCAAAAACGCCTATTTAAGGCATAATTCCAACTAGACAGTAATAGAGTCGATCCTGATCTCTTGGCGTACCTAACCAACCTCTAACCGCTGCACCGCTTACATTATTTGGTTACGTGTTGTTTTACTCATGAAACATTTCCTAACTTAACAAGGACGTGTTCAAAACGCAGCAAATGACTTCAGTCCCAAGTGGAAACAAGAAAGAAAAAAATAATTTATTGTGGACTTTGTCAATGTTGATGGTCCCAACTGTAGGTCGGCAGGACACCTTGTCAGACCTAAAGGGATAGTTACAGACACTTTAGAAACAGGAACAGGAGTTAGGAGGAGTGGAGATAGACCTACATTGGATTATTGTTCACAAATCGTTAAGGATGCGGGATGTTCCAGTTTTAAGAACAAGTGGAAGTATATGTCGAGCTAGTCTTAGGACTGACGACCTTATGACGATGAATCCTAACGTAAGGTATTTGTGGTTATTTTTCTGCAAAATGAACCATGAATTTGTTTTTGAATATCTTCATTTGGTTCGTTCTCACACCCATAAAAAAAATTAACGCTTAAGCGTATTAATCAAACAAGGCAACGGTTATCAACCTTTGAAGCTGTTGTAAAGGTATTAGATGGACGTGCGATAAAATCTGTTCGATTGTTCCATTCTTTTTGTGCGCTGAATGGTAATGAATGTATCTATGGTAGAGGTACGAGCAATGGTGGGTTGGGTACGGTTGTTGTTGTTGTTTACCGACAGATCGGTAAGTTGTCAGCTAAGGCCTTATTACAATGCACGCAAGTTTAACTTGTCGAACTACAGTGTCGTCGTCTTGGTGGGCGTACCAACAAAGCTGTTTCTTCTGTATTACCACACAATAGCGGTAGTAGGCTGAGAGGTTGGTTAGTTGTAGTTCGAAAAAACGCGGCTACAAACAATGCCTAGCCGTGCTCGCGATATGTAATACTTGTACGTGTTTTCAAATCGGCAGCGGTGTGCACTTTTCTACATTCGAGCACATAGCACTTCCACATCCTTCTTTAACACCATCTATCTTACTTACACACGTGTCAGGACGAATTATGATTAGAATTAACCGTAGGATTTGTCAGTATCGATAAAAATTAAGCCAATGATCTTCATCACTTGTTAATTTTATTTTGGATTTAACCCAGCTAGTGATGAACAAAGCAAAACCAAGACTGCCCAAGTCTTGGTATTGATCTTGATCTTCTAGTCTTGGTCTTCCTGATATAGTCTTCGTCTTGCTCTTGCTCTTTCAATCTGATACTTACGTACATTACCGATATTTACGTCATGTAGATAATTTTCACAAAATAATCTTTTCTTTTACAATAAAAAAGAAGGTTTGGTGTTGACGCGACAACCAAAACCGTAACAGAGAGTTTTAGGAGAATTCTCAATCTCTCATCGTCGTAGACAACAGAGGCAGTTTCATTGCCAGTTTCCTTTATTGTTCCCAAAAGGCGGGAAACGAGCAGTAATTGTTCTGGAAACCGCAGGCGCCTGGCTTCGCACTTTATAAGCGTTTCAAATTACGCAACCGGGTGATCTCTCCCCGTTCCTTTTCCGCAAAGCTAACACAACCCTCACAAACTGGTTTAATCGCTTCTTGAAATTATTAGCTCGGGTCAGACGAGGAAGTTGATTTTTTGCTTATTTATTTAGCATATTAACAACAACACAGTGCTGAACTCATCAAAATTCACACTTTATACTGCTTGGCACATTTATATTTGTAGTTGATAGAATTGTTTCCACACTTTCAAATCTGGTACGAATTCTATCAAGACAAAGTTCCCAGAAGGGAGAAGGCCAGTTCTCGGAGTGAAGTTGTCTTGTCGGGGCTGCAAATATTCGCAAGTAGTGGAGTTTTTCTAGACTAATCATCATCATCATAAGGTCGTCAGTCCTAAGACTGGTTGGACACGTACCTCCACTCTTTAATATCCTTAGCTAATCTTCGTATTACCCTCAAACTAGAACAGCCCACATCCTTAGCTATTTGTGAACAGTAATCTAATTTAGGTCTACCTCTACCCCTCCGAACTCCTGTATCTGCCTCTAATATGTCTCTGACTAGATCTTCATGTCTAAGAAGGTGTCCTACCAACCTATCTCGCCTATTTTTTATTGACTTCCATAGAGTCCTCTGTTCTCCTATTCTTTCCAATACCTCTTCATTTCCAACCTTTTCTACCCACAATATCCTCATCATCCGCCTATAACACCACATTTCGAACGCTTCTAACTTTTTCTTTTCCGCCGCGCCCACTGTCCTTGTTTCACACCCGTACAATGCCGTGCTTAATTGAGAAATATTTGTAGGAAAATATGTATTTTAAATATTATTTAGATGTGAGTTAGTTACTTGTTAGGAAATTTGTTTCCATCTATTTAAAGATTGCGGATCAGAATTAGGTTGCGGTTTGTGGCGGCATGGGATGTAGTAGCGATGCTGACGAGGACGCCGGGCGTCGGGATCGGTGGTGGCGGCGGCGGCGGCGTCCGTTCTCCCGGCAAGTTAGGAGCTTGCGGTGACCAGTAGTGGCGTTATTGTAGCGGTAACGGTTTGACCACAACCCGCTTTCTCCCTTTCGTATTCCTTCATCCTATTCGTTGACCAGTGGCTATGAGTGGATCCAGAAGGTCGAGCAAAGAGCCACCGGACGTCGCCACTGCCACCGCCGCCAACCCCTGAGCTTGCGGATTTCTATCGTCGCCGTCACAGTTTATTCAACGTTTCATTAAAGGATTCATTAAGTCTTGGTTAGAGTTGGCCGGCTTTGGAATAAGTTAATTAGTAACGAACAAGAACGCTCATTATCGGCAAACGAATGTGGTTTCCTGTTATTTTTTTAATCGAAAGAAGAGAATGAGGCAGCAGTGTAACAAGTCAGTAAACCCCTCGAATTTTCTCCCACATTTGTACCTATTAGTTTATATGAACTCTTCGTGTAATACCAGGTTTACAAACGTAGAATTACTTTGCCGATTGGTTCGTTAAATTGAGAATGACATGGAACTTATAACCATAAAAGGAGTTTTTCGTGTATGCAGTGGAATTGTTATTGCATTAATTTATCGTGTACAGTATTTGCAACGTGTCTCTTTTTTTATCTTCCATTTTCTTATACGCGTTAAGAGCGCACACTTTGTAATCGTGTTGGTAATAATCAGGAAACCGACCGGTAAATAATTTTTTTTATAAGAAGAAAAAGGAAAATAAGAAAAAGAAAAGCCGTCATTCCAGTAATGAGTAGAAGAAACGTGAGGCTGCAGTAGGCCAACAAGCAATTTCGTGATTTCCTTCAAAGAACTATATATTTCAGGGAATGCTGAACGGTAATGTTCCGCAGCAAAGAAATATTTATGGGCCTCAGACATGCAACCATATCTCGACATTTAATTGAAGATACTTACTTTATTCTTTCGCAAGGACGACCTCATACATCACGGAAAAGAACAACGAAAAGTTGCCCAACATTCTGATTTATATTATCTTGCTGGTTATCATCATACTTAAAATTCAGTTTTGATACATTTCTACATATACTATTTAAGAGATAATAAGGTGCACATGCTTCATTAGTTTTTTTTCTAATTTTATTGTAAACTATTTTTCTATTGTTTCAGGGTCCTCAACCAGGACAGCCTTTCAAATTTACTGTAGGAGAATCATGTGATAGAATAAAAGAAGAATTTAATTTTTTACAAGCCCAGTATCACAAGTAAGTACATACTTATTATTGTTTCCTTTATTATGCAACACATAATGGAATGTTTGGATTAAGCGAACGAATGCTTTTTGGCCTTTTTGAACATTCGCGTTCCTGTTCGCCTTTGTTCGCTCAGTCTGAACGTACCTTTAAAGTACTAAATCCTAAACAAAAATAGTTGTATGTTTTTTGAACGATTCGATATTGTTTGCGGTCTGCCATTATATCTCATCATTATTGTTATTACTCATGTAAAGAAGTGACGATCCTTCTGAGATAATAGTAAATGTTAGTGTATAAAGTCAATTTGTTCGTCGTTCAAGAGATAAGTAGGTAAACACACTCGGGCTTTCTTCTTTTGTTGTTGGACGTTCTAATAACGACGATTAAACTTATCGAAGATTATAATGAACGCTAGCGTGCACTTAAAAGGAAATTAATGACTCCAATGATTGCTGTTCCTCGCTTTATTGGCCATCATTTTTTTTATCTTCATTTCATCTCTGTTCTAATGCAATTATCGTCAAAGAATATTATTATCTAACGTGAAAGTCCTTGTTGTTTGGCTTTATGTTTATTAATAACACTTGTGACCCTGGATACAGGGATATCTAGCTAACTACTAAAGAATAAATAAATTCTTTATAATTTATTTAAACTACCATTCGTCGATCGCGATTTCAGCCACATTTGATCACATTAGCACGCCAAAATTGATTGTTTTCGATATCCTCTTTTGTTTCGAAAGAAAATGCTTTAACAATTAAACCTTTGAAGATGTCAAAAAACAAGGAGGTTCAATTAGTAAAAGCGTCATGAAGAGACAAAAGATTCGCTTTTTTCTTTTGTTATTTTCATGCCTGATACTGTCGCTCCGCGCGCGGTATGTCACGATTTCACGGGCCAAATCAGCGAAAGGCCAACAGGCAGGCAATTTATTTTTGTGCGGCACTCAAAACCATTCATTATTTGATGATTAATTCAAAACGAATACGCTGAGCGGTAAAGACGTTACGATGGCATATTATTATTTTATAATGACTTAGACATGGAAAAGTATACGCGATAATCAAAGACTTACACGTTGTCCCAAAAGAACAACAGCATTTTACTTAATGTCTAGGGTGTCCTAGAAATTATTATATTATTAGAAATCTGTCTTATAGTGATTTGGACATAATAGGCATGCTATCAAGAATAATATTCCAAAGTATCGTAAAAGAACTANAACGCTATAGCTGCGGAAAATTTCGTAATCATTAGGTTTTAAGACTTGTTTCTTCACTAACCGATTATGCTTGTTTCTCACCTGATTTGTACGTTTTGTTCCAGCTTGAAACTGGAATGCGAAAAACTGGCAAGTGAAAAAATCGAAATCCAGCGGCACTATGTTATGGTAAGTTTACAAATTTACTGAAAGAAACCTCTTCCTATTAGTGATGAACAAAATTGGTCTTGCAGTCTTGGTCTTGGACTTATCTTTATACTAGTAAGACCAAGGTCAAGACCGAACGGACAAGACCAAGGCTAATACCAAGACCTAGACTGGGACAGCCTTGGTCTTAGTCTTACTTTGTTCAGCACTAATTTTTACTTTTAAGTTCTTTAGTATAATTATAACAGTGCTACTCAACTGTGTCCTGATGACTGGCTGTTGTAATGAAGGCGCGTCATTTTTAAAAGTGCTGGGTACATTTAAACAAAAGAATGATATTCTATTTTTTTTTGTATGATTATGCCATGGGTTAGAATATATTTGACGTTAAACTGTTGCACAGTAATTGAGTCATTACTTCGTGATGTGTTCAAGTTTAACTGCCAGCAAAACGACGCATTTGACAAAGTTCTTGGCGTTGAACCAAAAATATCGACATAAACCATGGAAATATTACGAATGATACAAAGAGGTTTGTTTACGACTATAATAAAAACAAAATGTGCGAATTTTAATCATTGTTAAAGTTTATTTTATTCCTATAGTAAGACGGGATGGTTACTGAGTGAGAATAAACAATAAAATTTAGTCTAAATTGTTTCTTTTGATTTTGTGAAGGTCATTTAATCAGTTAGACCAAGAGCAAGACAGGGACCTTGCTTATTACTAGTTTGAGGTTCAATCATCTCAATCACTTCGCTTTTTATTCGCGTGCCGTCTGATTGATTTGATTAAAAGTTCCCTTTAAAATCCCCGTGTTCCATTTCATTACGAAATGGTGCTTCGAAGAAACGAGGATCTGACATTACGTGATAAAATTCCGAACAGTTATTATAAAAAGGCCATTAAACGACCGCTTCGTCCGAGTCGGAGAAAACGATTACAAACATGGCTATTAGGAGCTAATAAACGGTCACATAATTGATCAGATTTGCCGATAATCTTCAATGCTGACCGAAAAAAATTGTTTATGGACCAAACACGTCTCCATCGGTGGTCTGTTTCATTTCAAAAGTATTTTCGTTGTCCATTTATATACCTAACGCATAGTTAGTGCAAGTGTTCTGTAAGTTGTTAAATTGATGATTAAAAGGGTGAAATTTATTGATATTCTATCACACAGTAGCTTGAACAAATTTTCTTGAAAGTTTTTGTATTTTACTTCGTTACACTACGGATTAGTTTCAACAAGTGGGTACTTATCTTGAGTAGATAAACGTCGATTTTCAACAATATATTGTAAAGGTATTGAATATCTAAATAGATCCTTGTTTTGGAGGTCGCTTATAATTGTTTTTTTCTTTTGTTTCAGTATTATGAAATGTCGTATGGACTCAACGTCGAAATGCACAAACAGGTAATGAATTTTCACCTATTTTTATGAAACTTTTATTAACGATAATTAGCTCCTACATATACACATTTATAATTTTAAAACATCTTTAGTTTTCCTATTATCTATTGATTCTTCAGTGTCGCACACATGTGCATGGTAGTGCATTTTTATGTATTTTTTCATCATCTTCTGTTTGTTCATATGCTTAGGCACTTATGCAAATAGCTCGGGTAAAGCGCATGCAGCTGTTACTGGATTTATTATTTAAACTTTGCGGTCGACTTATCTTTATCCTATAAAATTACTTATACTCAATGAGTTTATGTTTGTAGAACGTGCGGATTTTAAATTATTTGTGCTTAAACGACGTTGCAGCGTGTAACAAAAAGCACTTGTACAAATAGGGCCACGAACACGACCGGTACCTACAGGAAATATTCCCACCCCTTTTTTGAGGGATGAAATTAATGCTATAAATATATTTCACCACTTTATTGTATAGAACTACATAATTACTTCGGTCTTGAGTCATTTTCACCACTGAGAAAATTCGACATTAATTATGGTTTTAGATTATGTATATTGAAAAGCTCATTGAATTACTGAGGATTTCACCATATTATTTCACCAATTTCTGTAGTAGAAGTTGACAAAAGTATCGCTGGTAAATTATCTCCAAAAATGCAAAATACTGCTGGATATTTGGGAATTACTTCACTAATTTATCAAGTAAAAGTCGGCAGATGTTTCTGTCTCAGTTTATCTCGAAGGGTCCATTGGATTACTGGATTTTTGAGAATATTATTTCACAAATTTATTGGATATTATTTCACAAATTTATCGGATAAAAGTCGGCAGATGTTTCTGTCTCAGTTTATCTTGAAGGGTCCATTGGATTATTGGGTTTTTGAGAATATTATTTCACCAATTTATCCGATATTATTTCACCAATTTATCGGATATTATTTCACCAATTTATCGGATATTATTTCACCAATATTTCGGATAAAAGTCGGCAGATGTTTCTGCCACAGGTTATGTTGAAGGGTCCATTGGATTATTGAGTTTTTGAGAATATTATTTCACCAATTTATCGGATATTATTTCACAAATTTATCGGATAAAAGTCGGCAGATGTTTCTGTCTCAGGTTATCTCGATGGGTCCATTGGATTACTGGGTTTTTGAGAATATTATTTCACCGATTTATCCGATATTATTTGACCAATTTATCGGATATTATTTCACAAATTTATCGGATAAAAGTCGGCAGATGTTTCTGTCTTAGATTATCTTGAAGGGTCCATTGGATTACTGGGTTTTTGAGAATATTATTTCACAATTTATCGGATATTATTTCACCAATTTATCGGATAAAAGTCAGCAGATGTTTCTGTCACAGGTTATCTTGAAGGGTCCATTGGATTATTGGGTTTTTGAGAATATTATTTCACCAATTTATCGGATAGATATTATTTCACCAATTTATCGGATAAAAGTCGGCAGATGTTTCTGTTTTAGGTTCATTGGATTTTTAAAAATCCCGAGTAATTTACATGAAAGGTTTCCAACATTTTAACGCGATTTCTTGTCCCAAAATCTTTTTCGATCACGGGATACGTGTTAGTTCGTAAATCAGACAATACGAGTAAATTAAGGGAAGTTGGTCATTGGCAAAAGCGTCGTCACCCTATATAGGGTGAAATCGGGGGCCCCGGAACGTGTAGTAGTTGATTCACATAAGCTGAAGTATTTGATTAGGGCGAATCGTACGAAGGGTAATGTTAATTGGTGCCATCATATGGGCCCAGAGCTTTCGTGTTTACGATAACAAACATTTTAACGATGGGGTGCGTTCGTTCGCTGCCAGTTGCACGACGTTGACGGTCGTGATGATGATGACGGCGAGGGGATGAAAAAAAAGGAGGGTGCGCGGAGATTAAATGCGACAGTAGGGCGCTTGCAACCAATTCAATTTAAAAATCGTTTGGGGCGATATATTGTCGCCTTTTAGTATTACAGACGTTAGTGTTCATGATGAAAGCGACACGCCACAACAGGGGTGTTGAATTTTTGTTTAACAAGCGTGCAGGGATCGAAATTAAATTTTCTATCATTAACTAATGTCGTCTTTTGTATTTTTAATACACAAAACAGGTAATGAAAGCGAATTTCGATCGCACTGTCGACGAAACTACAAAGGAGAATAGTGTTTAATAATATATTTCATTTACTTTCTCTAGCGATGTCCCCGTTCCAATGTCTTGGATGCGCGCTGGCAAAATCGTAGATAGGGAGTAAAAAGCTCATTATACTCTCGACTCTTGTTCATTAAATATACTTTTTCATACAGTACCTGCCAAAAGTTCTGTCAAATCATGAATAGTAGTGCGAGTCGAAAACAAGCGTTAAAGCCTTTAATATGTCTTCAAATATAAATAAACATCTCGTTGATATTTTCAGTAGTAAATGGTGCCAATAACAGCACATTTGAGCAATGCAATTGTAGTGGATAAAATGGNTCATGCCTGAGAAGGTGTCCTACCAACCTATCTCGCCTATTTTTTATTGACTTCCATAGAGTCCTCTGTTCTCCTATTCTTTCCAATACCTCTTCATTTCCAACCTTTTCTACCCACAATATCCTCATCATCCGCCTATAACACCACATTTCGAACGCTTCTAACTTTTTCTTTTCCGCCGCGCCCACTGTCCTTGTTTCACACCCGTACAATGCCGTGCTTAATTGAGAAATATTTGTAGGAAAATATGTATTTTAAATATTATTTAGATGTGAGTTAGTTACTTGTTAGGAAATTTGTTTCCATCTATTTAAAGATTGCGGATCAGAATTAGGTTGCGGTTTGTGGCGGCATGGGATGTAGTAGCGATGCTGACGAGGACGCCGGGCGTCGGGATCGGTGGTGGCGGCGGCGGCGGCGTCCGTTCTCCCGGCAAGTTAGGAGCTTGCGGTGACCAGTAGTGGCGTTATTGTAGCGGTAACGGTTTGACCACAACCCGCTTTCTCCCTTTCGTATTCCTTCATCCTATTCGTTGACCAGTGGCTATGAGTGGATCCAGAAGGTCGAGCAAAGAGCCACCGGACGTCGCCACTGCCACCGCCGCCAACCCCTGAGCTTGCGGATTTCTATCGTCGCCGTCACAGTTTATTCAACGTTTCATTAAAGGATTCATTAAGTCTTGGTTAGAGTTGGCCGGCTTTGGAATAAGTTAATTAGTAACGAACAAGAACGCTCATTATCGGCAAACGAATGTGGTTTCCTGTTATTTTTTTAATCGAAAGAAGAGAATGAGGCAGCAGTGTAACAAGTCAGTAAACCCCTCGAATTTTCTCCCACATTTGTACCTATTAGTTTATATGAACTCTTCGTGTAATACCAGGTTTACAAACGTAGAATTACTTTGCCGATTGGTTCGTTAAATTGAGAATGACATGGAACTTATAACCATAAAAGGAGTTTTTCGTGTATGCAGTGGAATTGTTATTGCATTAATTTATCGTGTACAGTATTTGCAACGTGTCTCTTTTTTTATCTTCCATTTTCTTATACGCGTTAAGAGCGCACACTTTGTAATCGTGTTGGTAATAATCAGGAAACCGACCGGTAAATAATTTTTTTTATAAGAAGAAAAAGGAAAATAAGAAAAAGAAAAGCCGTCATTCCAGTAATGAGTAGAAGAAACGTGAGGCTGCAGTAGGCCAACAAGCAATTTCGTGATTTCCTTCAAAGAACTATATATTTCAGGGAATGCTGAACGGTAATGTTCCGCAGCAAAGAAATATTTATGGGCCTCAGACATGCAACCATATCTCGACATTTAATTGAAGATACTTACTTTATTCTTTCGCAAGGACGACCTCATACATCACGGAAAAGAACAACGAAAAGTTGCCCAACATTCTGATTTATATTATCTTGCTGGTTATCATCATACTTAAAATTCAGTTTTGATACATTTCTACATATACTATTTAAGAGATAATAAGGTGCACATGCTTCATTAGTTTTTTTTCTAATTTTATTGTAAACTATTTTTCTATTGTTTCAGGGTCCTCAACCAGGACAGCCTTTCAAATTTACTGTAGGAGAATCATGTGATAGAATAAAAGAAGAATTTAATTTTTTACAAGCCCAGTATCACAAGTAAGTACATACTTATTATTGTTTCCTTTATTATGCAACACATAATGGAATGTTTGGATTAAGCGAACGAATGCTTTTTGGCCTTTTTGAACATTCGCGTTCCTGTTCGCCTTTGTTCGCTCAGTCTGAACGTACCTTTAAAGTACTAAATCCTAAACAAAAATAGTTGTATGTTTTTTGAACGATTCGATATTGTTTGCGGTCTGCCATTATATCTCATCATTATTGTTATTACTCATGTAAAGAAGTGACGATCCTTCTGAGATAATAGTAAATGTTAGTGTATAAAGTCAATTTGTTCGTCGTTCAAGAGATAAGTAGGTAAACACACTCGGGCTTTCTTCTTTTGTTGTTGGACGTTCTAATAACGACGATTAAACTTATCGAAGATTATAATGAACGCTAGCGTGCACTTAAAAGGAAATTAATGACTCCAATGATTGCTGTTCCTCGCTTTATTGGCCATCATTTTTTTTATCTTCATTTCATCTCTGTTCTAATGCAATTATCGTCAAAGAATATTATTATCTAACGTGAAAGTCCTTGTTGTTTGGCTTTATGTTTATTAATAACACTTGTGACCCTGGATACAGGGATATCTAGCTAACTACTAAAGAATAAATAAATTCTTTATAATTTATTTAAACTACCATTCGTCGATCGCGATTTCAGCCACATTTGATCACATTAGCACGCCAAAATTGATTGTTTTCGATATCCTCTTTTGTTTCGAAAGAAAATGCTTTAACAATTAAACCTTTGAAGATGTCAAAAAACAAGGAGGTTCAATTAGTAAAAGCGTCATGAAGAGACAAAAGATTCGCTTTTTTCTTTTGTTATTTTCATGCCTGATACTGTCGCTCCGCGCGCGGTATGTCACGAT